GCCAATCCAACTTTCAAGGTCTATTCTCCATTCCTCACCTCCTTTAGAGAAGTACCTGCAGCCTCCTATTTCTAAGCTGGTCTTTTTGCAGGCTTGTTTAATTTTCTCTGATTTGTTCATCCATCAACTTCCATTCTCCAAAATTGGACAAATCTCATCTGCTATTTTCTTTGCCCCATTCTCTTTGTTCTTATGAATTTTATCTTGTGCTTTTTAATCCTTTACTAACATATGAGTGAAGTTTAGGGGATAAATGCATGCTTAGTCCACACATTTTAGCCATCTATCATCATACTTTTCCAGAAATGTCTCTCTCATTATAGACTACTACAGTGTAGCATGTAGATTGAGTTTAAACCTGCCATCATTTCATTGCTTATTTGTTCTACCTTTACTATGTTCCTTTTTTCTCTTGTCTTCTGGCTTATTATTCCTTTTTCCTCTGTTTGTGAAATATCCTTTTTTTTTGTTTGTTCTCTTAATGATCAGTCTAAAATTTACTGCCCTAGCTGGTTTGGTTCAGTGACTAGAGCATTGGCCTGCAGACCGAAAGGTCCTGGGTTCGATTCCAATCAAGGACACATGCTGGGGTTGCAGGCTCGATCCCCAGTAGGGGGCGTGCAGGAGGCAGCTGATCAATGATTCTCTGTCATCATTGATGTTTCTATCTCTCTCTCCCTTCCTCTCTGAAATCAATAAAAATATATTTAAAAAATAAAGATTATAATAGGTATGCTCTCTTTATCAACTTAACTGTGGTATAATTTATGTAGAACAAATTACAGCTATGCAGTACTTCAATTACTTTTGACAAATGTATATACCTTTGCTTCTCCATAGCAAAACCGACAAAATTTTTCCATCATCCAAAAAGTTTCCCATGCCCCTTCAGTCAGTCCTCTCCTCCACACCTCCAGACAATCACCAATCTGTTTTCTGTCACTATAGTTTGCATTTTCATGAATTTCATAGAAATGGAATCACAGATTATGTTACAACAGGTATTCTTGACTAACCTAAAGCTACTGTTATCCCTAGAACTTTACCCTTTTCCCAGACAATGCAAGGATCTTAAAACACATTAATCCTGGAATTCTCTAATTATCCTCTAATCCACCACTTCCTAACTTTAATAAGCAGGGTTCTTCCAAGAAACATCTGTTATAGATAAAATGTGTAGATTGAGCATTCATTTATCTCTCAATCTTCATTATATCTATAATGCAGATATTTATTATCGGAATTGATTCAAGCAATCATGGAGGCCAGGAAGTCCTACGGCCTGTTGTCTGCTCGCTGGAGGACCAGGAAAGGAGGTGGTATAATTCAGTCCAAGTCTAAAGGCCTGGGAACCAGACACACCAGTGTCCAAGAGCAGGAGATGGATGTCGCTGCTCAGAGAGCAAATTCAACCCTCTTCTACTTTTTGTCCTACTCAGGCCCTCAACGGATTGAATGGTGCACATTGATGAGAGCCATCTTCTTTACTCCATTTACCCTTGCAAATGCTCATCTCTTCCTGAAACACCCTCAGAGACACACCCAGAAATGTTTCACTAGCTATCTGGGTAACTCCTAGGCCAGTGGTCGGCAAACTCATTAGTCAACAGAGCCAAATATCAACTGCACAATGAATGAAATTTCTTTTGAGAGCCAAATTTTTTAAACTTAAACTATATAGGTAGGTACATTGTTATTAACTTAATTAGGGTACTCCTAAGGCTTGGAAGAGCCACACTCAGGGGGCCAAAGAGCCGCATGTGGCTCTCGAGCCGCAGTTTGCCAACCATGGTGACCTAGGCCAGTCAAGTTGGCACGTAAAATTAACCATCATACCTATGAATCACCTACAGGAATCTTGTTAAAATGCAAGTTCTGTTTTGGGAAGTGCTAGTCTTTTTGTGTATTTTTTCTCTCTTTAGTCAAATTATACCAAATAGATGGCTACTGAGAAGGTCAGTTCTTTTGATAAAACACAAAAATAACATATTTTATCGTGTAGCTTCACACATGACTGAGTTTAGGATTTAATGGAAATGCTAATTAACAGTTGAAATGAAAAGACTTCAACTCGGGGTTGAATAATTTACACTTGCCACTATTTACTTTCAGGCTTGTGGTATGTTCTAGCTAGAATACAAGTCCAAAGAGGATAATGCAAGCCATGCTAGATGGATATTAACCATGCGGTACCACCACGCGCTCTAGCCTGACTAGATCTCAGAGCAAGGCGCTAATCATTTCCCTGTTCCCAAATCATCAGTGACTGTCCCTTTGCTTCCAGTTCCCTCCCCAACAGCCCGTGCTCTGATTTTACTGTTTCAGGCTTTTCTCTCACATCTCCCATTTGCGGGGGGTAGGAGAGAGGATCAAATGGGGTTACCCACTGCTCCCTGAATCTACCTTTAATGGTGTTTCTCTGCTCATGCTGGATCATCTAGCTCTAGGAGGGTTTTTGTGTGTGTGTGTTTTCCCCCCCAGAAAACTTGAGCCAACTGTCCCGCAACTGACCCCTCAGAGGTTTCTTGCCTTGGTAAACTAAGGTAATAGCAAAGTATTGACAAAGATATCCTGAGATGCTAATAATAATAATAATACATTTTTTAAATGGGTGGTGGGGTGGGTGGTACTTTTTGTATTCACGTTTCCACTTTTAGTTCTAAATGGCAAAACATTCTCCTACTCCAATTAAGTTAGTTTCTACTTAGAAATGCAGGATTTTAAAACTACTATTTGGAATCAAAGGTCACTGCCTCTGTTCATTGAACTTAATTATCGTATGGCTTAATGGAAAGGCCAGGGACTGGTGAATTTAAACTCTTTCAAATAGATAAAGATGAAAGTGTGTTAAATTTAGTGCCTCTGGGATTTTTGATATGTTCCAAATTTGTTTTTAATAACGTAATTGTCCCACTTTACACTTAGGATTACATCACAGTGAACTGGTTATTTGTGCAGTTACACTATTAAAAACAATCCCAAATGTCAAAAGTAAAAGTGAGGACAACTGTAATGTTAAACTAAGAAAGTGGAACTTGGAAATGGAAGAGAAATACTCAGGTTGAATGTCTTTCTATGAAACCTTTGAATAGAAAAACCTAGAAATTATATGTATTAGGTTAACTTGATGCTTTTACAACAGCATTAAAATAATTACTTTACTTACTGTTACAAATGGAAACCAATGCATTTTTCTCAAGGTTATTTATTAATTTTAGTGGAAAAATATAGCCCCCAATCACACAAATGGAATTGTGTTAAATACAATTTGAGAAAACCCATCAAGAAAATAAGTTACTAACCATCTGTATAAATGGTTATATATTTCACATTGTAAAAGAATAAGAAATCAAATTCAGTACCCTTGTTTGCACTAGTCTTCAGTTTTCTTTCTTAAAAGTAATTGTAATGTTCTCTTGCTTCTAGGGCTTTTCCTTCACAATTAATCCTCTTTCCTTCCACACCTTCTCTCCCAATGATGATCCCCCTTGGCCTCGGAACACAGGACATTAATTCACAGTATTCTTCAGTTTTCAAAACACTGCCTGGCCCTGGCTTAGCTGCTCAAGCCACTCCCTTTTGTAAAAAAAAAAAAAAATTGGTTAACCTAAGCCTTCGGGCTATCACTTCGCCAGGAGGTGCAACCACCTACCTAATCAGGAGCACATCTTTGTAATACAAACGAGTTTCCTTTTATCAAATAAGAAACACGATGGGCCCACATTCCTTAGGGTAATGGACATCTCAAAACTTCAAAAGGAGCCACGCGGTTCGGGTCAACCCCCGGGAGGACGGGACCCGAGACCCCATCCCGCCACAGGGTGCCTCCGGGGCCCTCGGAACCCGCCGGGAGGGGCGCGCGCCTCGCTTCCGCGCGGGCCGAGGAGAAACTCCCCAACATGCCCTTCCTCTCCGCGCGCACCGACGGGCTGTCCGCGGGGGCTGCTGCCGGAGGCCGCGGTCCCGGGCGGTGAGCTTCCCGGCTTGCAGGCCAAACGGGGTGGCGACGGGGGCCGGCTCCTCAAAACGGTCACGACGGAAGCCAGCGCGGTCGCGTCTGGGAGCGCCGAGCGGCCCCTCGCCCAGCACCGCCCGGCACCGCCTCCCAGCCCGGCCGGGCGCGAGGGGCGCGCGCTGCAGGCGCCCTCGGGGGCCCGCGAACTTTCCGGTTGGCTCCTTTAAACCGGGGAGAGGGGCCCCCGACGGCAGGTCTCCTGCTGCAGGGGGGCCCCCGCGGGGAGCCGGCGCCCACCTGTCCCGCACAGGTCTGGCCTGGCCGTCCCCGCGGGGGACGAGGGGGGGACCCACATCGCTCGACCGGTGTCCTCCCGGCCCGAGGGGGGCCGGCCACTTCCCGGGGGGGTGGGGGCGGGCACCTGCGCCCCAGGAAACTACACGCCAGTTTGGACTTGACTGACGCCCCGGCTTCACCTTCGGAGGGGCCTCGAGCTCCGCGAGGGGGGCGGTTGCCCCAAAGCGGAGCCAGCACCCCGCGGGCACGGGGGGAGGGGCAGGCCGACTGGAGGCCGGGGTCCCCGTCGTTCCCGGCGACACCCCGGAGTCCCCGCTCCCGGGCCGGGCTCGCCCGCGCGGGCCGGGCCGGGGAGACTCGGGCGCAGACCCCGTCCCCGCCCCGCCGCGCCCGCACCGCCACCGTGAGGCCGCGCCGGGGACGGGGCCCCGTGGCGGCGGCGGCTCCGCGCGCCTCTCCGCGCCGCCCCCGACACGGGCGGGGGGATGTTTTCCCGTTTCCCCCTCTTTCGCGCTCTCGCTCCCGTTCAGCGGGAGAGCCCGCGGAGCCGGGGAGGGAGCGAGGGAAGGGGTGGAGGTGGCGGGGGGAGGCCGGAGGGGCGGATCCTGCCTGGGGGCTGATCCCTCCCTCCCCTCGGCCGGGCTCCGTGGCGGTGGCGGCGGCGGCAGCGGCGGCTCCATTCCCCCTCCTCCCCCGGGAGCGGCGGTGGCGGCCGGGCTGGGGCCCCAGCGCGGGCCGGGAGGGGGCACGCTGTGGCCGCGGAGGCCAGCGCGGGAGGAGGCCGCGCTCCGCTCCCCGGGCCGCGCCGTCCTGCTCCACGGCCGGCCAGCCCGCGCCCAGGATCCCCCGAACGTTGGGGCCGGGCCGGTGGCTGAGGTAATGGGGGCGGCAGCGGGGCCAGACGGAGCGGGGGCGGGGGCGGCGGGGCCTACGGGGACCAGGGGCTGCGCGGGTGGGGGAGGGAAGCGGGGGACTTTCCGAGCTGGACGCGGGCGGGCGAAGCCCTGTCCCGGAGCGAGGGCGGCGGCGGGGCAGGGGGAGGCGGGTGAGGGGGTAGCAGAAAAGCGAGGACCCCCTCCCGCAGCCGCCATCTTGTTTTCCCCCGGCCCTGGAAGCGGAGCACCCGGGCCCCGCCCCCGCCTCGCTCTCCAATTGGCCAGGCCTGCGGAGAGTCCCGCCCCCTGAGTGGCCCTGGGCGCTCCGGTTTCCCCTGAGCGGCAGGCGAGGGGGCCAATGGGGGCTCGCCTCTCTGCCCCGCTGGTTCCCGGGTGCGAGCTTTCTGTCCGAGGGTCACACTTCGCGTCAGTCGGCCTGGCGCGCTCGCCCCCTGCTCTGTGGGGAGGTGATCGTATCCCCTCTTTTCTCCTCCGAAGGGTCCAGCTTCTTCTGGAAATGGTGGCCCCGTATCGGGGCGGGAGCCTAGGCTGCGGTCCTCGTCTCATGAGTACCTCCTGAGGGGCGCAGGCGTACAGTCCACTTGCAGAAACTCCTCATTCTCTGGGACCTGGGTGACGTGGGCCAGCGGGGGTCTCGGGGTGTCTAGAAGACCTCTGAGGTGTTAGAGATATTTGGGGGTGTGGTTGCGGAAAGGGTTGTGTGGGATGAGAATCTCCCGCCAAAAATCGACTGTAAGCGCCTTGTGGGCGAAACGCGTTTCTTGTTCCTCAGAGCAGCCCTTTCCCTCTGGAGCCCGCCCCTGTGTCCAGAAGCTGGGGTGGGCGGAAGAGGGCCCCTTAGCTACTTACTGCTTGGGGGGGGGGGCGGGGAGGGGCGAGGGGACACCTGAGCTGCCCCGGAGGTGGGAGGGCGGGAGGGGAGAGCTGCATCCAAGGGGCCGCAGCCTCTTGAAACTTTGAAGCGGGCGGCGTTGAGGTGGATGTGCACGCCCGCCTCGGGGTCTCCAGGCCCGTGAGGGGAGGCCATCAGCGGGGCTCCTGGCCCAGGCTGCCCCGGGGGCTGGCATTTGTCAGGCAGGAGGTGGCCAAGGGCCTCTGGAACCCGGACAGCTTTGCTGGGGTGATGGTTTGCTTTGGCTCCAAGGAGGATGTGTGCCTGCCTGGCCCTGTTCCTCAGCCACGTTGTGTTTTTTTTAATGTTTCAGTCACACTTTGGGATTGGAAGGCCTATTATTATTATTATTATTATTATTTATTATTATTATTATTATTATTAAAAATATATATTTCAGAGAAAAGGAGAGGGGGAGAGAGAGAACCATGAATGATGAGAGAGAATCACTGACCGGCTGCCTCCTGCACGCCCCCTACTGGGGATCCAGCCGCAACCGGGGCCTGTGCCCTTGACTGGTATCGGACCCGGGACCCTTCAGTCCGCAGGCCTCCGCGCTGTCCACTGAGCCAAACCGGCTTAGGGCGCAGAAGGCCTTGTAAATGACGACCTTAATACCTCACTGACAAATAGCAGTCCTTTCGAGGTAGACGTTACTGATTTGGCCTTACTGATGGCGTATAGAGGCCCAGAGAGATCGAGCGACTGACTTCCGGTCGTCGAGGGGCAGGATTAGAGCCTCGGGTTCGGGCCTCCTAGTCGGATAAGTAGAGCAGGTCAGAGGTCTGGGTTTGACTTGTAGCTTTGTCAGTTGGGTTGAGTGACATCTTCCTGAGCTTTTATGATAGATATTATCTCCATCTGTAAAATGCCTCCCAGACTGGTTGTGAGAAGTATTAAAAGTAAAAGGGCCTGCAGTTTGTAAAAGTGTGCTAATCATCACCATCACCGTCACCGTCTCTGCTTTATAGATAAGGATGGTGGACCCTTCAACCAAGCTGACCAACTCTCTTTCTCCTTGAAATCCTGTCCCTGTTCATACCCTTTCACGTCCCCACCCGCACCCCAGGCAGCATCTCCCCAGAGATCTTTCCTGCTACCATGGCCTCACTAACTGCATGGTTCCCTCCTCCCAGAGAATGATGTAGAAAACTTCAGTCCCTCTCTTGGCTACACAAGGGTGGGCTGGATAGAAGTGTTTTGGGAGAGAGGGACTTTTGAAACAGAATGCATCGAGCGTTTACCTCCGATAGCCCCCCGGTTACCTTAGTCTTAGGTCTAATGAGGGTCCCAGTAGTTCAGTTTACAACTCAGTGCCACCTGGGGCCACTCCCAGAGCTTCTGCTCAGAGGTGTACTAGCCAGTGCATCCCAAATGCCGCCTTTTGCAGATAAAACCCTGAAGACTAGTTTGAAATCTTTAGGCTACATGAGATAGACATTTCATGTGCCTCCACTCCTTCATCCCTGGGTAGGGTTTCTGATCATAGTAAAGGGGTTCTAAACCTGTGCATTTTGGATCCTTTGCTGGGACTGTGCATGTCCAGAGCTTGAAAACGCATGCTGTTCTTGTTTTCTAAAGCTATAACCTCCCCCCCCTCCTTTTCCATAGATAGCTGTTCCACAGCCTTATGTTACATTGTAATGACCTGTTTACTTTTCTGTCCCTTCAATCAGACAGAGCTTCTAGAAGACAGGGATCGTGCACGTCTGATTTCTCCTTTCACTCACCAGTTACTGAGTGCTTACTTAGGAGCCAGGCACCATTCCTGGTGCTGGGGTTATAGTGAACAAGACAGGCAAAAATCCCTCCCCTCAGGGAGCTTCCATTCTAGTAGGAGGAAGCAGACGTACATGATAAAGAGGTAAATTCCATAGCACAGTAAAAGATGGTGAGGGATGGTGAAAAATAAAGCAGAATGAAAGATTGTGGTGGAAGAGAGGGATTTGCAATTTAAAACGCATGTATTTTTATTGATTTCAGAGACAAAGGGAGAGGGAGAGGGAGATTGAAATGTCAATGATCAGAGAATCATTGATTGGCTGCCTCCTGCACACCCCCTGCTGGGGATCGAGCCCCCAACCCGGGCATGTGCCCTTGACTGGAATGGAACCCTGGGACCCTTCAGTCTGCAGGCCGATGCTCTATCCACTGAGCCAAACTGTCTAGGGCTGGATTTGCAGTTTTAGAGAGAGTGGTCAGGGAAGGTCTCACTGAGCAGTCATGTTTTCGGAAAGACTTGAAGGAGGTGAAGGAGTAAACCATGGGGCCATCTGAGGGACAGAGTGTTTAGACAGAGGGAGTATCCAGTCCTCTTTCTTGGTGGCCGCTTGGTCGGATGGAAGGGTGAATGACTACATCCTCTTCACTGTCTCCTGGGCTTTCTCCTTAGGCCTGTCCCCTTTCTTCCCAGGTGCCATGAGGAAGCCTCGCCAGAAGTCACGGCAGAATGCCGAGGGCCGGCGTTCCCCATCCCCCTACAGTCTCAAGTGCTCGCCTACTCGGGAGACCCTGACATATGCCCAGGCCCAACGGATTGTTGAGGTGGACATTGATGGACGCCTGCATCGTATCAGCATCTATGACCCACTCAAGATCATCACGGAGGATGAGCTGACTGCCCAGGATATCACTGAATGTAATAGTAACAAGGAAAACAGCGAGCAGCCTCAATTCCCTGGCAAGTCCAAAAAATCCTCATCCAAGGGCAAGAAGAAGGAGTCCTGTTCCAAGCATGCATCCGGCACATCCTTCCACCTCCCGCAGCCCAGCTTCCGCTTGGTGGACTCAGGCAGTCAGCCAGAAGCACCCCCGTTGCCTGCTGCCTACTACCGCTACATTGAGAAACCGCCTGAAGACCTGGATGCAGAGGTAGAGTATGACATGGATGAGGAGGACCTTGCCTGGCTGGACATGGTGAATGAGAAACGGCGAATAGATGGGTACAGTTTGGTGTCGGCAGACACCTTTGAGCTGCTGGTAGACCGGCTTGAGAAGGAGTCATACTTGGAGAGTCGTAGCAGTGGGGCCCAGCAGTCACTCATTGACGAAGATGCTTTCTGCTGTGTGTGCCTGGATGACGAATGCCACAATAGCAACGTCATTCTGTTCTGTGACATCTGCAACCTGGCTGTACACCAGGAGTGCTACGGCGTCCCCTACATCCCCGAGGGTCAGTGGCTATGCCGCTGCTGCCTGCAGTCTCCCTCCCGGCCTGTGGATTGTGTCCTCTGCCCCAATAAAGGTGGCGCCTTCAAACAGACCAGCGACGGGCACTGGGCCCACGTGGTGTGTGCTATCTGGATCCCTGAAGTCTGCTTTGCTAACACCGTGTTCCTGGAGCCCATTGAGGGCATTGACAACATCCCACCTGCCCGCTGGAAACTGACCTGCTACATCTGCAAGCAGAAGGGGCTGGGTGCCGCCATCCAGTGCCAAAAGGTGAACTGCTACACGGCCTTCCATGTGACGTGTGCACAGCGGGCCGGGCTCTTCATGAAGATTGAGCCCATGCGCGAAACCAGCCTAAATGGCACCACTTTCACAGTGCGCAAGACTGCCTACTGTGAGGCCCACTCACCCCCAGGTGCTGCCACTGCTAGGAGGAAGGGTGACTCCCCTGGAAGACTTGGTGAGCCTCGGGATGAGGAAGGGCTGAAGGGAGGCTGTGGGGAGGAGAAAGACAAAGAAGAGGTGGAAGAGGAGGAGGAAGATGAAGGCCAAGGTGTAGTAGGTGGCCCCCTCAAAGGAGTGTCTAAGAAGAACAAGATGACTTTGAAGCAAAAGATCAAGAAGGAACCAGAGGAAGTGGGTCGAGACATGCCCTCCATTGTCCCCTTGGTCACCGTCCCACAGATACCCTCTTACAGGTAAACCTGCCCAGGAGGGTGCCCTAGAGACTAATGGTTTCTTCTTGGGCTGGTGGTGGCCTTTCCCATGCACTGTCGATGAACGTCTGTTCTCTTCTGTGCCCTCAAATTTCTCCTTTGGGCCCTGGGTTTACCTAGTCTGGTTTGTGGTTTTGATTGTGTTCTCAGAACAACGTGTTTCCTTTGGTTCAAGGTGAGACAAACAATTAAGTTGCTTAGAAGCTCAGGTGACAGGATGTCTAAGGCAGTATTTTTCAGTAGGGTCACAAGTGGCACTTTGGACAGGAAAATTCTTTATTAGGACTGTCCCATGCGTTCCTAGGTGTTTATTTTAGCATCTGTGGTCTTTGTAAATACCAGTAGAATCCCCTCCTTCATTGCCTGGTCTTTGTGACAACATCAAACCCACCCAAATGTTTCTAAATACCCCTACAGTGATCCAGTTACTTCCCATTGCAGGGTCAGCATGGTTTTCTGCTATCCAGAAAGCTTGGCCCTGGGAATGGTAGGGATTTTCTGGGGGTGGGGGTGGTGTGGGGAGTACATGCTACTCCTCCTCCTGAGAAGCTTTTAGATTTAGGATCACTCGGTTCAGCTGAGTGTAAGCCTGCTGAGTGTACAGGAGACCACTGTGCCTGTTACACCATCGGAGAAGTCTCTGGAACTGTTGGAGGGGCGGGAGGTTGGCGGAGAACTAGAGACAGGAGATTTTCCAGCGGAGGCTCATCTCTAGAGTGATATTCATAAATAAGTATACAATGTTAGAGCAGGAAGGAATCCTGGCGATTGTTCATCTAATGTAGTCCTTGCACCTTCTCCCACACCCCCAGATGAAGAAACCGCGGCCACTGGAGGTAAAGTTGTTCACTCCTTTATTTATTCATTGAGATATTTATTGAGCACTTACTATATGCCAAGTCCTGTTCTAAGGGCTGGAACCAGGTGGAAAGTGGCTGACTCTGGACCGCAACTGGGGCTCAACTGTAGGTTCTATACCTGCTGCCTCTCTCACTTGATGAGAAGAATAGGGATAAAGGAATACTAGAGGGTAGAGGGAATGAGTTATACAAGGGAAACAGGCAACTAGACTTGTCATTTGGAAAGAAGACACAAGAGCATGGAAGGTCAGGAGGGAGAGGCTCTTGTTGCAAGCCATGGCTTGAGTTAGAAATTCCGTCGACTTGGAAATGTATCTTCTAGTCAGAGACCTGTTCAGGCTACCCTGTTGCCTAGGATGAGTGGGTGAATGCTTAGTCCACATCTATACGGTGTTATGCCCTGGCGCTAGACTTTTTGCCATGTCTGCTCTTAAGATGTGTCTTGCAGGCTGGCTAAGGACCAGACAGACCTACATTTGAATCCTGTTTCTGTCACTACCTGTGTGACCTTTGGCAAGCTACTTATTTTTTGTATTTATTTATAAGTAAAACTACTTCATAGGGTTGTGAGAAATAAGATAATACAAGTAAAGCACTTAGCACAGTGCCTGGCAAATAGTAAGCTGTCAATAAATGGCTGCTGCTGCTATTTTATTATTATTCTTTTTCCTATCTGCACAAATGCTATTGGGACCCTCCATGGCCAAGAGGTTCTAGAGGGAGGGGGCTGCCTGCATCTGGGCAGGTGTGCTTGGCATGGGCACTGGCGGGGGATCTGTCCTTTGGGGAGAGTCCTAGGCCCTGATTTTGTAAGCTTCGCTTTGGGGCAAGAATGTCTGACTGTGGAAAGGCGCAAGGCCCAGGTGAGCTATGTCCAGTCCAAGATGCCCATTCTTCTTAGGGTCTGCCTTCTTGTTTAGCCATGCGTATCTTCCTTTCAGTGGAGTGAGATGAAGAGAAACGCAGTGGAAACACCACAGGAGCACTGAGGCCTTTTGCTTACCGGGTAGATAACCAGTATGGAACACTGCATGGAATAGCCAAGAGATCATGGATTCACATCCCACCCCAGCTCCATCATCTTATTGGCTGCATTAGTGACTTTAACAATTTATTCAGCCTCTGTTCCTAGACTGCCTTTCCATCTTTTACAACCTGGGAATAATGTTAACCCACCTTTCAGTATGGGCATTAGGATAGAGATTGTAGGCTCTCATTAATTCCCTTCCTACCTCTTTCCTTTCCTTTCACACACCCCGACCGTAAGGCTAAGGCTAAGTTTTCAGATTCTCCATCCTCGTATACCTTAGATCCATGTAAATATATATTTTGGTTCAAAATCAGACATTTTGGGGCTGCTGAGGTTTTTAATGAAAAAACCAGAGGTCAGATGACTCCAAGGGGTTGCATTTGGGAGTAGCCTGCTGGTTTTCCTTCCAGCTTGGCCCTGGACTATTCCCTGGTCTGGTGAGACCCTCTGCCACAGGAAATAGTGACCACATTGCTCGTAGCTTACTCAAGTTCCTATTCTCTTGCTGCCTTTATCAAGAGAAGGCTGGGTTATTGGGGCACAGACCTGTTTCTCAGGAGTCCATAACTGCAGGAAACAGGGTTTCTAGAAGAGGGTTGTTTTAGAGGTTCAGGATTGCAATGCAGGATGTGGAAAGTCAAGTGAATCTGAGCTGCTTAACTTTGCTGTCCTTTTCAAGCCTTTCTCTGAGGTGAGGCATTTGGCCACTTTATTCTGTCTTCCTTTATAAGGTTCATAAATGAACCAGGGTCTGGAGAGGAGGGTATAATCTGGTCAGCTCACTGACCCTGTCTGTCACTTCCCTTTGCCTCTACTCAAGGTTGAACAAGATCTGTAGTGGTCTCTCCTTTCAGAGGAAAAACCAGTTCATGCAGCGGCTTCACAACTATTGGCTGTTGAAGCGGCAGGCACGGAACGGTGTCCCCCTCATTCGGCGCCTGCATTCCCACCTGCAGTCCCAAAGAAATGCCGAGCAGGTAGGTGACATGGTGATTTGGAGGTGGAGAGTGAAGAAGGAGTGATGGTCGGGGCTCCCCCTTCCCCCAACCCTCTGTGGAGCCTTTGCCTATATGTGATCACCCCTCTAGGTGGTCTATCCCAGGAACGACCTCCAGCACTATAGAGCTCTTCAGACCAGAAGCATCTCCTTCTGGATGGGAGAAGCTTGACTTGGGAGCAAATTGTAGGGGATAGTGGAGAGCAAGCCCAGCTTTCTGTGTATGTGGAGAAAACCCTTTAGATATGGCAGAAAGGGAGAAGTGGGATGAATGAGAGCCAGGCAGCACTGAATTGCATGAATTAGGAAAAGGCACACTTTACTCAAGACACGATTGCCATGTGCCAAAAAAATGTTTCATAGAAAATACACAAATTTACCACCTAAGTTGTAGTGCACAGCCTGCCCAATTGTCATGACCTTTTAGTCACTAGCAACTGGAATTGCTATCTGTTTAATGTTTTCTGCGAGGGTGAAGACTTTTAAAAAAAACATTTTTTATTGATTTCAGAGAGGAAGGGAGGAGAGAGATAGAAACATCAATGGTGAGAGAGAATCATTTATAGGCTGCCTCCTGCACGCCCCCACTGGGGGTTGAGCCTGAAACCCGGGCATGTGCCCTGACCAGGAATTGAACTGTGACCTCCTGGTTCATAGGTGGACGCTCAACCACTGAGCCATGCCAGCTGGGCCTGAGAGACTTTTAACATCTTTAGTTCTCTCTCCCTACTCATTGCTCCATTACTTCCGCCTTTAAGTATTCCCACACATGCTACCCACCGCGTTCTGTCTGATTTCACTTTTGCCTTCTGTAACTGAGTACTGAGGTGCATTTCTGTATCTGATCCCTCCTCAAAATGGTCCATGTGCTCCCCTTAAGCCTCCCATGGAACATCAGTGACCTCCTCCCAGCTCAGCAAGTCTTTCCTTAGATTCTCACTTTATTGACTGTTGGGCTACATTTGATACGCCGGTCATCTTGTCTTAGAACTTCTCTGTGACTTCATTTCCCCCCTCCTCCACCCCACAGACTGCACCCTGTGCCCATCCTACTTCTTACTCCTTAATGGTAACATTCCCAGGGGCTCAGTTGCCTGCCTGCCTGTCTGATTGGAGAATTTGTACATTCGTAGCTGTAAATAACTGTGAAGTAGTCACTCCAGATTTCTCCTCTTGTCCTCATCCTCGTTTTCTGCCCTCAGTCCCTTAGGGCACAGGAACTGTAGATGTCCATGTAGATGTTTCCTGTAGCTCAGGTATTGGAAGCTGAATTCATTATCTTCCTTCCTCTCAGTAAACGTATTTCCCCATTATTGTCATGATCTCAGACGTTTCCCACCTTTATAGTTACCCTTGACTCTTCTCTCCATAACAAGCCACAGTTAATCCTCCCTAAGCTTTTCGGGGGGATTTATCAGTATATGGCCCTTTGTCTCCATTCTCCAGCTACACTGCTCACCCATATCCCTTTAATTTCAGCAATAGCTTTCTATCTAGGTGGTCACCAGCCTCTCATTCTTTCTTTGCTCTACAACTGGTGATGTCTTAACACCATTTTCCATCCTGTCACTTCCTTTTCCAGAATATGTCCAGGCTCCAGGCTGTTTGGCCTGGCATTTGAGGCTTCTTGTCAGTTGGGTTCTGGATCTTTCTTGGCTTTTGTGATTTTCCAGCTTCTCTCCTCTGGCCAGCTCATTTTTCTCCAAGCAAAGAACCACTAAGTATGCCTCCACACTTTGGCCCTATGGTTCCTTCAGTTCCAAAAGAGGCCTTTCTTGCCCAGCCGGCGTGGCTCAGTGGTTGAGTGTCAACCTATGAACCAGGAGGTCACGGTTCAATTCCCAGTCAGGGCACATGTCTGGTTGCAAGCACAATCCCCAGTAGGGGATACGCAGGAGGCAGCTGAGCAATGATTCTCTCTCATTGCTGTTTCTACCTCTCTCCTCTTTCCTCTCTGAAATCAATAAAGATATATATTTAAAAACAAAACAACAAAACAAAAGAGGCCTTCCTTACTGCTTTATTCATCCATGTCCACATGTGAAAACCTAGTAAGATTCCTCCCCCAAGAAGCCGTTCCTGACCTAACCCCAACCCACTCAGATCCTCTCTGTTTTATATCCTCCCAACATCTTATATTCAGTCTGTCTGATCATTTTTTGTTGTCTTTTTGTTGTGCCCTCGTGCATCAAACCCTGACACTCTTCCTTCTCCCGATTGCACTGTAACTTCTAGGTCTGCAATCCTGTATTTGGTGGGGTGGAGGTGTTTTAAAGTCAATTAGTACAAGCTTATAGTAAGAACACTTTGTTTTCTAGCCCGAAGTTGAAGCTCTAGGGCAGCCGTGGGCAAACTACTGCCCGCCCTTTGAAATGAATAAAATAAAATAAAAAAAAGACCGTACCCTTTTATGTAATGATGCTTACTTTGAATGTATATTAGTTCACACAAACACTCCATCCATGCTTTTGTTCCGGCCCTCCTTCCAGTTTAAGAACCCATTGTGGCCCTCGAGTCAAAAAGTTTGCCCACCCCTGCTCTAGGGTGAAATTCTATCCTGAGGTGTCTATTAGTTTCCTCTGAAATTCTTTCCAGCCCCGAGGGGCACAGGTGCTCTCTGGTGTCCCCAAGGGTAGGGGGAAGTGGTCCAGATCTCACCCAGGCGGTAATTGTGCTGCAGTGAAGAAACATTGCTATAGGGTCAGGGGAGCCCCGGAGGAAGGAGAGGGGGTGGAGGGGCTTTCGGGGACTGAGTCAAGGAAGGGGTTGGGGCTCTTACTTGCCAAGGCCTCATGAAGCTTGACTAGGGAGAGGACTTTGGGCAGGAAGGAGGCCCCTAGCTCCTTCCTTTCCCTTCCCTTCCCTCCTGCAGCGAGAGCAGGACGAGAAAACAAGTGCAGTGAAGGAAGAGCTGAAATACTGGCAGAAGCTGCGGCATGACTTGGAGCGAGCCCGGCTGCTCATCGAGCTGATTCGGAAAAGAGAGAAGCTCAAGCGGGAGCAGGTGAGGAGCTCTGAGCCCCATGGCTCTCGTTCAGGAACTTTTTCTCCCTGTCAGTGTGTCACCAGGAGACCTGGTACAAACTTTCTCCCCTGCTTGCCCAGCATTATGGGCTCTCAGGCCTGACTGCTCTGTGGTGCTGCTGATGGCTTCTCTGGGGATTCAGCTTCTGGTGGCCTCAAGCATAAGCTCAGTATCATATGCCTGGGCCAGTCCCTGGAGTTTCTGACTCAGACTCTAGGGATAGCCTGGCCTTGAGTATTTTACAAAGTTTCTCAGGCTGTCCTAGCTGGTTTGGTTCAGTGGATGGAATGTCGGCCTGCGGACTGAAGGGTCCCGGGTTCAATTCCAGTCAAGGGCACATGCCCGGGTTGTGGGCTCAATCTTCAGTAGGGGCGTGCCGGAGGCAGCCGATCAATGGTTCTCTCTCATCATTGATGTTTCTATTTCTCCCTCTCTCTTCCTCTCTGAAATCAATAAAAATATGTTAAAAAAAAAAAAAAACCACAATAAAAAGCTTCTCAGGCCATTCTGATGGCCATCACCTCTGGCCTGGGAACTTCTGAGGGTCCTCACTAGGCCCTTAAACACTTTTGGTCTTAAGCCATTTAAATTTCCCAACATCTATTCAAGGATATTTTAAGCCTTTGAGTATGGGGAAATGCTGAGATAGGTAGTGTGGCATAGGGGTTAGGAATATGAACTATGGCACCATCCCGCCTGGGTTTAAATCTTGGCTCTGCCACTTACTACTTGTGTGACATTAAGTTGCTTAGTTTCCTTATACCTTAGTTTCCTCAACTGTGAAATAGAGGTAATCATAGAACCTACCACATAAGGTTGTTGTGAGGATTAGATGACTTGTGTATACAAAGAGCATAGAACGGTGCCTGGCCTATAGCAGAGGGGCTACAGTGCCAGCTTCTGTCATCATCATTATTGACACTCTGCCTCCCTGAAGTACCTACTGCAGTTCTCTACACATGGCATAAAGCAAATACTGTGTTTTTAAAAATATATTTTTATTGATTTCAGAGAGCAAGGGAGGGAGGGAGAGAGAGATAGAAACATCAATGATGAGAGAGAATCATTGATCAGCTGCCTCCCGCACGCCCCACACTGGGGATTGAGCCCATAACCCAGGCATGTGCCCTGACCGGGAATCAAACTGTGACCTCCTACTTTGTAAGTCCACGAAAGCAAATACTGTTTTTTTAAAAGTAAATTTTCTTTTTCTTTTTCTAATCCTCACCTGAGGATATTTTTCCATTGATTTTTTTTTTTTTTAGAGAGATGGGGAAAGATAGAAACATTGATATGAGAGAAGCACATTGATTGGTTGCCTCCTGCATGTGCCCCGGCCAGGGTCTGAGCTTGGAAGGAGCCTGCAACCAAGGTACGTGGCCTTGACTTGAATTGAACCCGGGACCCTTTAGTCCACAGGCTGATGCTCTATCCATTGAGCCAAACTGGCTAAAGCATAAATACTATTAATTCAATGAATGATGAGCTAAAACTGTTCTCTCTGGTTCAGGAATAGTAGCTGTTACTGGAATGTTCCTTTCTCTCTTTCTCTAAACTCCCACTTCTCTGGTAAGCCCCAGCGCAAGGCCTGAGTTTACCTCTGAGACCTGGCAGCTCTTGCCATACTTAGCATGGGTGGCATGGAGGACATCTCAGGACCTTCTCCTGGATTCACACTGTTTGCCATCCCAGGCCTGGATTCCCACCTCAGCTTTTTTTTCCTGCCTCTGGTTCACAGAAATGAAAGAGGAAAGGAAGCAGGCAGGCCTGTTTTGATGCAGCCAAGAGACAGGACTTTTCATAGTATAATCCAGTGACGGCGAACCTATGATACGCGTGTCAGAGGTGACACGCGAACTCATTTTTTCGGTTGATTTTTGTTTGTTAAATGGCATTTAAATATATAACATAAATATCGAAAATTTAAGTCTTTGTTTCACTATGGTTGCAAATATTAAAAAGTTTCTATATGTGACACGGGACCAGAGTTAAGTTAGGGTTTTTCAAAATGCTGACACCAGAGCTCAAAAGGTTCGCCATCACTGGCCTAATCCATGGCTTCCCAACCTTTTCATAGTAGGACACACATGAATATAACATAGTAAAGCATACTACTGTAAATATGCGAAGCTGCTTGCTGCCCGAGGGGATGAGCCTGGAGGCCCAGGTCAGCCCAGCTCAACCCAGACATGCCAGAGGCCAGTGGGATCACTATCTCAGCACACCAGGTGGGAATTCTGGCCCAAGGCACATTTTATATCATCACTGTGCTCCTTGAACTAAGTCAGACCCTACTCTTTAGCCAGGTGACCATGGGTTAATGATGCAGATTCCGTATTTATAAAATGGGGATAATAAGTTTCTCCTTCAGGGTTGTGTTGATTAGTTGAGGTAATGTGAGTAGAGAGCAGTGTGGCATAGCCCCCAAGAGCACATACTGCAGAACCAGGCTGTCTGGGGTGTAGTCCCAGCTCTGCCCCTTACTGGCTGTGTGACCTGGGGCCAGTCAGTTACTTAGTCCCTCCGTGCCTCCGTTTCCTTTCGTAAAATACCTTATCTATACTTACCTTGTGTACTCACTTATATATAATGTTAAAATGTTATTTGGCACTTAGAAAGGACTATAAAAGTAGTCATTATTATTACAGTTGACTCTTGAACAATGTGGGCATTAGGGGCTCTGACCCCCAGCGTAGTTTAAAATCTGCATATAACTTGATTTCCCTAAAACCTAACTACTAGTAGCTTACTGTTGACCAGAAGCCTTATTGCTAACAGTTGACTAACACATACTTTGAATGTTATATGTATTACATATTGTATTCTTACACTAAAATAAGCTAGAGGAAAGAAAATGTTAAAATCATAAGGAAGAGAGCATACATTAACAATATTTATTGAAAAAAATCTATATATAAATGGAGCTGCTCAGTTCAAACCTGTGTTATTCAAGGGCCAACTATATAATTATTACCACTCTTAAGTTTTGGTGTGGTGCTTGATACATAGGAAACATCCACATAGGGGTAGCTCTTGGTATCTTTATTTCTAGGCTGTGGGTTAGGTGGTCACTCCTAATAAAATGGTCAGCTTAATAGCCTGTGAAAATTTGTTATACACAATTGGTGAAAGTCAAGCTATAAAGAAAAAGTTTAGTGCCTCTTCAAGGGGAGGGGTGTCCTGATTGCTCCCCACCTTCCCACAGATCAAGGTCCAGCAGGCTGCCATGGAGCTAGAGCTGATGCCATTCAATGTTTTGCTGAGGACAACACTGGACTTGCTGCAGGAGAAGGATCCCGCACACATCTTTGCTGAACCCGTCAACCTGAGTGAGGCAAGTTCCCCCCACCCCAGTTCCTGAACAGTGATCCCCTCAAGAACTGGGAATGATCTGCGAAGGCCAGGAGCGGGTTGAATGACAGTGTACAAAAACTGGAGGTGTCTGGCAAGGCCAGTAGACTGCCAATGGTAAGGGGTCAGCAGACCAGGGTGGGCCAGGGCCCTGGGGCTCTGAGTGAGCCCAGAATGGTCAAACCAGGGAATGGGGAGGCTGGAGTGCCGGTGAAGGGTACGCCTGTTTGGCTAGTAAATGGTTGTTGTAATTGTACAGGTTTTATATGTTTAGGTTCCAGATTACCTGGAATTCATATCCAAGCCAATGGATTTTTCTACTATGAGGCGGAAGCTGGAGTCCCATCTGTACCACACCTTGGAGGAGTTTGAGGAGGACTTTAACCTTATAGTTTCCAACTGCATGAAGTATAATGCTAAAGACACAATTTTCCACCGAGCAGCTGTCCGCCTGCGGGACCTGGGAGGGGCCATCCTGCGGCACGCCCGGCGGCAGGCAGAGAACATCGGCTATGACCCCGAGAGGGGCACCCACCTGCCCGAGTCACCCAAATTGGAGGACTTTTATCGCTTTTCCTGGGAAGACGGTGAGAAGCCTGGGTGGGTGGGGAGGATGGGCTAGGAGGAGGCACGGGGACAGAGCCCAGAAAGCCAGGGATCAGAGTGGACGTTGGGGCTGTAGGGTAGATTCCAGGAGCAAAGCTGGGGGTAGGCGCAGGCTGGAATATATCTGCTTGTGGCTGGAATAGTTCCGAGGATTAAAGTTTAACTAATTCACTGAGCACTTCCTGAGTGGTAGGAACGGGGAATCAGGTACTAGCTGTCTGTCTGAAAAGCTAAGGCCTCACTGGGGTCTTCCTCTCCCAGACACTCTGTGTGGCGCTGGGGCATGGGGTAGTGAAGGCAGGCAGCTGTGTGTTTGGCTCATTCAGAGAGTGCAGGTGGAGGATACAGAGAGTGCAGAGAACAGAATTGCCTTCGAGCCCGCGCTCTGCTGGCCCGTTTTCTGCTTTTCAGTGGCAGCAGCCAAACAGTCACTCAGGCCTGGGGATTGCCAAGCTGCCTCGTGCCTGCTCCATAGAACCCATAATCGTGACTGTGGAATGTTTCCTGCACATGTTTCCCAGATTCTGACCTTGCCCTTGTGGCTGCCCTGTGGACAGCTGTGGTGCCAGGGCCAAGGCCCCACAGTGATGTTGCTGGAAGTCACAGGCTCAGGCATTCCAGGAGAGTATTTTGCATCCAAAGGATTCAGCCCCTTCCCCTTCCCCTTCCCCTGGGCTAGGCAGGTCCTTCAGCCCCTTCTCTCCTCCCTTCTCCCTGGCAGTGGACAACATCCTCATCCCAGAGAACCGGGCTCATCTGTCCACGGAGGTGCAGCTGAAGGAGCTGCTGGAGAAACTGGACCTGGTGAGTGCCATGCGGTCCAGTGGGGCCCGGACCCGCCGCGTCCGCATGCTGCGCCGGGAGATCAATTCTCTGCGGCAGAAGCTGGCACAGCCACCGCCACCACAGCCACCCTCACTGAACAAGGCTGTGTCCCATGAGGAGCTTCTAGCAGGGCCCCGGGGAGATGTGGCTGTGCTGGAGCAGGCCCTGCAGGAGGAGCCAGAAGACGATGGGGACAGAGGTGAGAGACGGTCACGAACAGGCAGGATGCTGAGGGCAGGGTAAGGGAGCAAGGGTTCAGCTGAAATCCTGAGTAGAAGCATCCTTCCTTGAGTTTAGGTCTGATCTTTGTGGGCAAGCAGAAGCCCTTGGAGGGGTCACACTTCCACATATGCCCAGGGTTGATATTCAAAATATTTAACAATCAGTAGAGACCAAAGTTTATCAGTCAGAGTAGGTGTTGGCTGTCGTATTGGAATGAACTCCTGGTGGCCACTGACTGATGTGGATATTTAGTTGCTGGATTGTGGGCCGATTCAGGGAGTTTCAGAGGCTGGGGCTCAGCAGCTGTTATTAACCAGTAAAGAAATATTTTAGTATTTTGCACCTGATATGGTCATATTGCACATACCAGTTAAATATCAGTTCACCTTATACCATCATGTAGTGAGGCTCTTAGAGCAGCTTAGGTTGTGGTGGGGCGGGGGATTATAGAAAAGGAAGACCCTAAAGATAGTCTGGGCTCTCAAGCTGCCTCACGGCTCTGACCCTAGCTGGCCAAGTCTATAGGCCCATCCCAAAGCAGAAAGGCCAGATTGCAAAGACAGCTGGGAAGTGATTCTCAGAGACTCCAGGGCTTGAAACCTGAGCTGCTTCCCATTCTCCCACGTCACTGGGGACAGAATTGTCCCCCTCCTACCTATCCTTGGATCTGAGCCTATGGCTTGGGAGGGCCTGTCATCAGTTCAAAATGTTGAGAATTATTTCCAGAGGGAAGGGGGCCAAATTACAGGGAATGGCCCATTTTAGATTGGCAAAGCCAGGGGACATGGCTGAGAGGTCATATTTGGCTTTAGAGGGCTTTGTGCTCGTTGTGATTCTTCCTCACTCCCCATGTGGCGTGGCAGCCAGCATGTGTCCCCATGGCAGTATCCCCATCCTGGGTGTGGCAGCATAGGGTCATGCCCAGTGGCCCAGCTTGCAGCAGCTCCTAGAGCAGGGATGGGAAACGTCCGGCCCGTGGGCCATATAAGGCCCGTGAAGTCATTGGTCTTGCCAAGGCATTAGGGGTAAGTTAATTACAGTTTGACCAAATATAGCAGGCTAATGATGTTATAAATATCCTGATGACCCTTGGCAGAAAAAAAAGTTCCCCACCCCTGAAGGATTTCAAACAAAATTCCAGGGTTCACCTCCCAGATATTCAGATTAGGGCAGTCTCAGCTGTGGTTTGGAAGTCTCAGTTTTTAAAAGTTTCGGCCCTGGCCAGATAGCTCAGTTAGTTAGAGTGCAGTCGGGTACGCCAAGATAGTGGGTTTGACCCCTGGTCAAGGCACATATAAGAATCAACCAATGAATGCATAAATAAGTGGAACAACAAATCGATGTCTCTCTCTCTCTTTTTCTTTCTCTCTCCCTTCTTCCCTCCTTCTCCCTTTCTCTCTAAAAATCAATATAAAAATTCTTAAAATATAAAAGTTTCAAGATGGTAGGTGAACAGACATGTTTGGGAATCCCCGATTTAACTTTCTTGGCCTCATTTTTCCCATATCTATAAACTTACTCTTTCTGCTTATCCTGTTTCCTTCATTTGGGTGATAGGAACCAAAATACTGTATAGCGAAAGATGGGAAAACATTTGAGTCTAATGAGAACTGTAGACTCCTAATTTGTGCAGCTGAGACTCACCTAATTATTGATTGAGTAGGCAGCCTTTGGCTTTCTCGGGTGTGGAGCAGTGGTGTGTACCCGCACCTCATCAGACTCCCCTGGTAAGCTTAAAAAAGAATGCCTCCTTTTTGGAGGTTTGGTTTCAGTGGGTCTGGAATGGGACCTTGGCATTGAAATTTTTAAGAAACTTCCTAGGTGATCCTAATTCATGGCCAGGGTTGAGGACTACTAGTGCTAAGAAAACTTAGCCCTACCTTCTCTTCACGTCAGACTGAGACCCGGGGTACTTCTCAAGCCTGTAGCAGCTAGTGCTTTTGGGTTCTTGGTTATCAGTGTCATTAGCTGGCTCGTAGGGGCAGACTTTATCTAAAATGTTCAAGCAGGTTCTCTTTTTCTCTAACAGATGACTCCAAACTGCCTCCCCCACCAACCCTGGAGCCCACTGGGCCTGCACCTTCCTTGTCTGAGCAAGAATCCCCTCCAGATCCCCCCACTCTAAAACCCATCAGTGACAACAAACCTCCAAGCCGATTCCTAAAACCCAGAAAGGTGGAAGAAGATGAGCTTTTGCGAAAATCGCCTCTGCAGCTAGGGAACGAGCCCTTGCAACACCTGCTCAGTGACGGTGACATCAACAGACTGTCCCTCATGGCCGCCGAGGACCCTGACGGTGCCCCGCTCGGTAGTGTGGGCCGCCGCACCTCGGTCCTCTTTAAGAAGGCCAAGAACGGGGTGAAGCTGCAGAGGAGCCCAGATGGCGCCCTGGAGAACGGCGAGGACCATGGCGCAGCGGGCTCTCCTGCCTCTCCCGGCAGCATCGAGGATGAGCAGCACTCCCGGAAGCGGCCAAGGAGCAGGAGCTGTAGTGAGAGTGACGGGGAGAGGTCCTCCCAGCAGGAGGAAGAAACAGGTGACCTTCCTGTGACTGCTCTCCCTACTCCTCTGCTTTGCCTTGCCAGCCAGCACCTCCCCCCGTCGGCCACCTCCCTGATAGCTCCTGTGGATGCCAGTGGTAGCATTGAGGGCTCCCGGTTCACAGTTGGGCCTGGCACATGATGAGTAGAGGCCTGGGGAAATAGGCTTTGAGCAAGTATTTTGAGAGGGCTACCTTGTGTCTGGGGCTCTCTTTGGCCCTGATGGGGATGCAAAGCTGCACATGGTAAAATAGGTCCTGTCTTCATTTGAGTTCATTCATTCATCAGGTATTTATATCAGGCATTCTTCTAGGCACTGGTGCAAAAGTACCTCCCTTGGAGGGAAGATACATTAGAAGCAAGTGAGTGGATTGTATCTTATAGTAGAAGTTATGGAGGAAAAACTAACAGGGAAGGGGCATAAGGGATGCTGGGTGGTATTAGAGAGTGGCCAGGAGAGGCCTTCCGAGGAGGTGACATTTGACTAAAGATCTGAAGGAGCTGAAGGTGTAAGCTATTTGGGAATCTGGAAGAAAAACGTTCCAAAAAGACAGAGATAGACTAGCAGGTGCACAGGCCCTGGGTGGGAACGTGCCTGCACGCCTGAGGAACAGCGAGGGAACCATGTGGCTGTAGGCGAGTGAGCCAGGGGTGGTAGAGATGAGTCTCAGAAGTGGGTAATAGGGGCTCAGTCACTAAAGAATCCTTACTCATGTCCAGCCCCAGCTGGCCTCGGGGAGGGGCAGGTAATTAGTCAGGCTAGTTCCAGCTCCAGAAGGGTTCACAGGCTAGTGAGGAGGCTGGATGGCCCGCTGGGGTGCAGAGGTGCCGCAGTGCTGGACAGTATGTCAGGTGACAGCACTGCTGGAGGTGTCCAGGGACCATGAGCTGGAGGAGTACGGAAGGTTTCATGAAGAGTTGATGCCTGAGTTGTCCCTAAGGGCTAAGGGCAGAATGGAAAGGAGTAGACGGGACAGAGGGGTCAGGCCCAGGTGTGTGTGGAAGCAAGGACAGTCTCTGAGAGGGACAGTTTGGAGAGGGGCTTTCGGAGAGCCGGGAGCCAAGGCTGGATGGTGAGGTGGGCAGGAATGGGCAAGGCCCACGTTGGCAGACAGAGTAGTTGAGTCTCAGTGGGATATGGAAGGCCAGCTTGCTTCGTGGGGAGAGGCCTGCTCTTGGTTGTTGCTCCTCATGTCTCTCTCATGTCCTTTTATGTGGTGGCTTTGGGCTGTATGGCCAGCACATGTTTTTTCTGCTTTTCTCTCTTCCTTCCTATCACTTTGTTACCAGTAATACAATACCTTCCCTTCCCATCTGGCCCAAGCTTCGCTGTATTAGGGGAGTAAGTTGGTATAGTCAAGAGCTTGAGGCCTGCAGTTAGGCAGACCTGAGTTCAAATTCCGTCTTCTTACCAGCTCTGCATCAAAGTAATTAGCTGGGGCAAATTGAACAGGCCGTTTCCTTATTTCTAATTTGGGGCTAGTGACACCTGCTTTGCAGGGCTCTAAGGATGGGAAATAGTCTGCATAAGGCACTTGGCATGTAGCAGGAGATGGTAGCAGTCATCGCTGTCATCCTCTCAGCCACGGCGGCACAGCCAAGCAGCAGAACACTGCGTTAAAAATGACAAGTCCTGCTACTGGGAAGGTGGACATCAGGCCCACCCAAGCCCAGAGGGCCCACTGCTTGGGGATACCGCTAGCCTGTTCCTCCTCGAGTCCAGCTGCCCTATGCTCAGGAATGCTTCTGCACACCCTTCTTTGACCCTCATGAAAACAGATGAGGCACCTAAGGCACAGCTGGCTTAGTGACTTAAATTGAGGTCACAGTGTTAGAGGCAGAGGTAGGTCAGAGTCCAGCTATCTTGGCTCACACCTGCTCTCACAGGTGTGATGTGTCTTACAGTTTACTGGCCAAGGTGGCATAGAGCTCTTGACTTATCCCTCTGACGTGCAGCTCTCTGGATTGTGGTTAAGAGTTGGGGAGACAGAGGAGAATTCAAGCCTTCACAGCCAATGAGAGTCATGTCCCTGAGATGAGCAGGTAGTCTTCATCTGCCTCCAAAGGGCTGCCTGCTGTAAACAGACCTCCTCTCATTCATACTTAATAGCATCCTCTGTGAGTGAGAACATATCTTCCCAGAAGGGAGGCCAAGGCTTAAAGAGGAAAGGGGGCCTGTACTTAAGAGCCCAGTTAGAACCAAGAGAATGCTGACTCCCTGTCCCAGGAAGGGCTGGTCTGTTTTCGTTCTGCGGAAAAGGCCCCCATCCTCAAGTCTGACAGGCCCTGCTAGATATCTCTAGGCGCGGTTACACAGCCCTTATCCTGCCCCAACCTCCCTGACGCCATCCCTAAAGAATGAAGCAGCTGTTGCCAGCTGTGTCATGGATAGGGTGTGTGAGTGTTTATCTGAAGAGGCCAGGCGGGTGGGCTCCCCAAGAGGCAGAGGAGACTCCCTGATAATCAAGGCTTGAAATGGAAAGCAGATCCAGGGACTTGTAAGCCAGCCGGAGTGGGGAAGTCTTGGTATTTCCCTTTGTAGCCAGATGACAATAACGAGTGAGCTGTGTTTTCCTTACAGTAAAACCAGAGGAAGGGAAAGAACACAGTGTCTGCTCATTGCCCCCGCCAACATTTCCCCCAAATCTATATCAGATTCTACCACCCAAGACCATTTTCCACAGGGATGGGCACAGCCATTCTCCACCCCTTCTCGCTGAGCCCTCCTGTGGTGGCCATGCTGTAGTGAAAGGTGGGGGTGGGGGCGGGAGCGGGGTGGGTGGGGTGCTGCACACAGGCTCACTCTGTGTGTCCTTGGCAGGTGTAACCAACGGCTTCGGAAAACACACGGAAAGCGGGTCTGACTCGGAATGTAGTTTGGGTCTCAGTGGTGGACTGGCATTTGAAGCTTGCAGGTAAGAACACTTGTCCCCAAAGCTTCACCACCTCTCCCTTTACTCTCCGTCTGGCTACAGCTTGAACCTTTCTGCTTATCTCAGATGTTTTCTTCCCCAGCCCTGCTATTTCCTGAGGCCTCTGGTCTGTAACTGGGAGCTCCTAGGAAACAGCATGACCCTTGACCCTCAGGCCTGATCTGACTAGGAGGGGAGGGGTGATGCTGATGCTTTAAGGCGGCGGTTCTCAACCAGTGGGTCGCGACCCCTTTGGCGGTCGAACGACCCTTTCACAGGGGTCGCCTAAGACTATCCTGCATATCAGATATTTACATTACGATTCATAACAGTAGCAACATAACAGTTATGAAGTAGCAACGAAAATAATTTTATGGTTGGGTCACAACATGAGGAACTGTATTTAAAGGACCAGAAGGTTGAGAACCACTGCTTTAAGGGTTTGTGGAGCTGAATTTGGCTCTAGAAAGCAGGCCAGCCATATCTCTATTGCCCAGAGAAGTTAATATTTGAGCCAATCCTCCACCTGTCCCCCAACCCACTCAGATAAACCAGCTCATTACAGACATGGTTTCACCCTGTGCCTTTTGGGTCGTCATAGCTATGGCCCCTTTAGAGGTGTGGTGTGGGGATAAGAATGAGCTGATAGGAGATTTGAAATTGCCTTTTATTAGCCAAAGTTCCCTGCTCTTTGTTGAGCTGGGGGGTGAGTTTCTTTTCCCATTCTTTTACCTGAAGGGAGGATTTCTGATACCAGAGCCTTAATGTTTCTTCTGCATGCAAGAATTCCTTGAACCCCCGCTCTGTCTTGAGAGCTGTACAAGGAACCAAGGAGTGTGCGACTCTTGGAAATGGGCGACCCTTAGTGCCACAAAGGCTGACCTCATGGTCCCTCCATGTGGCTGCTGAGTGGATTCTGCGTTCAGAGCAGGGGAGATGGTCCTGGGAATGAGCACCAGAAGGCTGTGTGTCTGTGCTTGAAGCACCGCCAAGGCCGGTTGGGTGTGCGTTCTGTTAGGTGCTTGTTCTCACCTGGCTCCTGGGCTCCTGGTGGGCCCATGGGAAGCCCCCTCCCCCTTGGGCCTGGACCGGTTCCCGCTGCTGCATGCCCAGCTTTCAGTGGCTCCTTTGAGGTGTCTCTCCCCACCAAACCTCAGAGCTACCCTTTCTTACTCCTTCCCGTGCTGCCCTCTAGAGATATGGGGGGGGGGGGGGGGGGGGGGGGGAGGATGGGAAAGAACACCGTTATCAGAGAAGAGGCAGTGATTTCAGGCTTTTATAAGATGCTTCTAGTCTGGGCCTGGGGTGGGGTTCCTGACTCCCTTCAAAGACATAGCGCCTGGAAACCCAGTTCACTGGGGGTGGGGTAAGAGTGTCCCTCCGACACCTTGACTAAAGGTCGAAGGTGTGTTGGGCTCTTCCTTCTGTGAAGGGCACTCTTCCCAGCTCTGGACAAGAAGCAAGCCGGCCAGGCTGCAGTGTGCTTGCTTGAGCAGACCTCCAGTCCAGTGCTGCTGGTCTCTCTGGGGCCCTACTCAACATGGAAAATATGCCATTGGGAGGCATTTCCTCTTTAACTCAGTGGCATTTCAAGGTTTAACATGAGATTCAGGGGCTCTGGCTGCCAGGGTTTTTTCTTAAATTTTTTTTTCTATGCTATGGTGATAAGTACATAAAGGACAATCATTAACTCGATAATCATATAATCCCAGAATTAGAAAGAACTTCTGGTCACTAATCCCACCCCACCCGCCATGTGCCCCTTGGTTTATCTGTCCTAATGATTTTCTGAGCAGGTTAGGGCTGCACCATCTATCTCTCTATCGGTCAGTACTTCAATTATTAATTGAGCACCTACTATGAGCCAGGAACTATACTAGGGACTGATAAGGTGTCTGCTCTCATGGAGCTTATCTTCTGAAGGGCAGAGTTGAATGCTAAACCAGGAGACAGAGTAATTATAGGTTGGGTTGTCTGCTTAGGCCTGGGTAACGTGAGAGAGAGGCTGAAATGCAGGTGATGATCAAGTCACTTGTGCTTTTTTCTTTTCCTTTTTTAAAATTTATTGATTGATTTGAGAGAGGTAGCAGGGGGAGAGAAGGGAAAGGGCTGGGGCAGAGAGAGAGAGAGACAGAGAGAGAGAGAAACTTTGATTTGTTCTGCTTATTTATGCATTCATTGGTTGCTTCTTGTATGTGTCCTGACTGGGGATCGAACCTACAACCTTGGTGTATCGGACGAAGCTCTAAGCAACTAAGCTACCCAACGAGGGCACACTTGTGCTTTTTCCTATGAAACAGGAAAATACCTAGTTTTGGTGTTGTATCCATTTTCTTGAGCTTATCCTTCTCAGCGCTCATCATTTAATAGTACATTAGTAGTTTATAATATTTAAAATGAGGGATTAAAATTTACTGTCTTTCATATAATATTATAGAACTGCCACTTACTGAGTATTCGGTGTGTGCTGTATGTGCACTTCCTGGGTGCCTCCTCTGTGTTAATCCATTAAGTCCTCACAGCAACACATGGGGGACACAAGCATCAAAGAGGTTGAGTAACTTGCTCAAGGTCACAGAACTATTGAGTACAGAGCTGGGTTCTGAACCCAGGAAGTCTGGCTCCCCAGTTTAATCTCTTAACCACGTTGCTGGGCCCTCTTCTGTTGTATTTGAAGATGTCTTCTCAGATCCATGATGTGAACTGGGAGAGGCTTTCCTAATGAAACTACTAGTACCTTACATTTTATAAGGCCTCAGAGTCTCTGGGCTCAGTGACAGATTTTTGTAGGGTGAGTGGGAACTGAAGCCTAAATGTGAATTGGGTGTTCTTTGTGTTTTTCCAAACAAGCCTTCATTTTGACTAGCAGGAAAAAAGCTCCCAACCTACTACTCACTGAAGGATTATGATTCATTGAGGTCTGGTTGTGCAGGTGTCCTGTATTAGACATGATAGAGACAGTTACGATTCGATAACCAGGAGCACCTGCTTGCAGCCAGGCCTAACCCTGGCCGCCTCTTGTCCCACCAGAGGTCTCTCAGCATTTCTGTCCTTCTGCAAATGGTTGGCCTGTCTTTTAAGCATTTTTTTAGTTGAAAAAATTATATAGTGGTAATATTTTTTAAAGTTTGGATGGAAAGAAAGCCCTAGTCAACATTATTTTTACCAGAGACTCCCAACTATGGTTGTGCATTAGAATTGCATTGGGAGATACTTAAAAATACTGATGCCTCTGTGGGTTCAAGTTATACCATTACTCTGGTATTACTGTTCTCATTTTTGCTTATTACCTTTAGTCTTTGTCTAATTTTTTTTATCTCCTTACAGTAGCCATGTTAAAAAAATCCATCTTCGTCTAAGAAAAATTCACATACATAAAGTGACAGTGAGAAGTGGATTTTTTCCCAATTTAAAAATGTTTTTTCTAATTAAAGATATAGGACATGTCCTTTATAAAAAATTTGGGAAAGAGGCAGATTTTTATACCTCTAAAAAGTAAATTGATTTCTAAAGAACAAGCAATATGAGCCACAGAGCAAAGAATTCTGGGCAGATGTGAGGTGGGCCTTCCTCAAGTTGCCTGGGATGAGCTTTGCTCTGGATGAAGTCCAAGGCCCCAAACAGGGAAGCGGCGAGTGGGCATGTCTTGCCAGGTTCAGTCCTTTCACATGGATGAAATGGTTCCTCAAAGCCTCACGGGAACTTTCTGAAATGTATCATGGCTTAGTGTGAGTTTTCAGGGGAAGGTGAGAAACCATTCTCCTTGAAGGGTTTATGCAGCTCCACTCCTGTCAGCCATTAGAGAGTAGGAGTGGGGATGCTAGTCATTGAAATTGCTCGTTTCTTCCCCCTTCCTTCCCTGCTCTGTATGCAGTGGTCTGGTGCCCCCCAAACGCAGCCGTGGGAAGCCAGCCTTGTCTCGAGTGCCCTTCCTGGAAAGTGTGAATGGAGACTCTGACTACAGTGGCTCAGGTGAGGAGCAATATACAGATGGATTTGGGGGGTTGGGGACGGGCCTTCCAGAGAACCAGCTCTGTGGTCTGGCTAGACTGTGAGCTCTTCGAAACCCCCAGGCACTGGGCAGGGTCTTCCTTCCCAGGTCATTCATAATCATTTTTATTTTCCCCCCAATTCCTCTTACATTTGAGTTGGTAATATATGCCCATGGTAACAAAAATCATCAGAAAGGTATAAAGGGTATGAAATGAAAAACCAGTGCCCCCCTCCCTAGGACAACCACTGTTGGCAGTTTCTTTTGTCTTTCCAGCTGTAACCCTTACACACACAAGCCAAGATGCCCGGGTACATGTAGGAGAGTGACGAGAGAAGCCTGCTCTACATGTGCCCCCCTAAACCAGGGCTGGGGACTGCCGGGCCCGCAGGCCGTGTAAAGCCTGCAAATCATTTCGGCTGGGCCTGACAAGGCATTAGGAGTGAGTTAATTAAATGTTTGACCAAATATAGCAGGCTCATTTGTAAGTTGATAATTTTGTATGGCCTGTGAATGATGTCTTAACTATCCAAGTGGCCCTTGGCAGAAAAAAGTTTCCCTACCCCTGCTCTAAACCATGCTTTTTTGTTTTCAGTTAATAATATATCCTTAGAGACCGTTCTGTGGGTTTTATCATCTGCCTAATGTCCCATTATAGAGGAGTGCATCATTTACCTAACCAGCCTTCTACAGATGCACATTTCGATTGTCTTCACTGATGTGCTATAATCAGTGTTTCAGTGAGCAACCTTGTGCATAGATCATTTTGTATCCGTGGGGGGTGTATCTATAGAAGTGGAGTGGCGGTATTGAAGGAAGTGTGCATTTGTCATCTCGGCAAATACTGCCTGCCTTCCCTCCCTGGAATCATCTGTGATAGCCTGTATCCCTGAATCACACATGTGACCTGTCATTTCACGTGATCCAGTGCTTCCAGCCTTCTCCTCATGACACACACTGCAGCTGGTCCAAACGCGTGGGTCTTTTCTCCTTAGACAGAGAGGATAAAGGGCAGGGCGGGCCAAAGGAGAGGCCTGGGTGCTGCTCAGGACGAGCAGATGCAGAGCGGGCAATTCTCTGAGCACCTGTCTGCCCGCCTGTGGCAGGTGTGCCCTCTGGATGCCTGTCTGTAAAGCTTTCATCAGGCTGCAGGGCTTTTCTTCTCTTTCCTTTTCCCACCCGCGTTAGCTTCCCTTGGCTTCCCTGTTTTCCTTGTATGTGTTGATGAATGCAAGCCTGCGTGTTTCATTCCTGTCCGACTGTCAGCACCCAGGAGGCAAGGCTCACGTCTAGATACAAAATTAGGAGAGGATTGTGCTTCTGCTGGTGACATTTTGATATTTTATTCTTATTTTTAAAACCACATACTTCTTAAAATGCAACTGAAGGAAATTGACCTCCCACTGTTTCATCACCTTAGCATAGTTGTCTTCATTTCTGTGTTGCCTTCTACTCATTTCAGACATGTTTTTAACAAAACGCTAACCTAAAACACACGCTCTTCTGTATTCTCCCCTTTTCAGTGTTTTCTTCATATCAACATAATCTTTATGTGTCTTCATCATTAGAACAATGTATTTTTCAATCAGTTCATTATAATTAACCCTTCAGCCCTAGCTGGTTTGGCTCAGTGGATAGAACTTCGGCCTGAGGACTGAAGGAATCCTGGGTTCAGTTCCGGTCAAGGACATGTACCTTGGTTGCAGACTCCCAGCCTTGGTTGGGTGTGTGCGGGAGGCAACCAATTGATGTGTCTCTGTCACATCAATGTTTCTCTTTCTCTCTCTCTCTCTCTCTCTCTCCCTCTCTCTCTCTCTCTCTCTCTCCCTCTCCCTCTCTCCCCCTCTCTCTCCCACTTTCTTCTACTCTCTCTAAAAATCAATAGAAAAATGTCCTTGCATGAGAATAAAAAAAAAGATTAAAAAAAATTTAGCCCTTCAATTGTTAGACACTTGACTATTTCCAACTTTATACATAGTAAACCGATATTTTTGTCCAAAATCTTTTTATTTGGTTTTAAAGTTATCTTCTTCGACTAAGGTTCCAGGGAAGGAATTTACTGGAGCAGATGGCTCATACATTTTTTGATGGCTCTTGAGACTTACACCAAATTACTTTCTGGAAGGATTGGCTGGTCTGCAGTTCCCTCAGCCTGCCTCTGCGGAGTTGGGTGTTATTTTGTTGTTGTTGTTGCTATTTTATTGACTCAATAGGTAGAAACAATACCTCATTATTAGTAGTACATTTTAAAATCATAAGTGGGGGTGGTAATGTTTCCTTAGAAACTTAATTTCCACTCTGAGATTTGGGCCTTTTCCCTTGGTTTCCCTGATTATAGTTATGCAGAGGGGATGGAAGCTCCTCTGTGTGTTCAGATGCTTTTGTAAAGCGCCCACCCATGGGTGCTAGTGCATTGGGTGCAGAACAGAGGAAACTGAAGAGACGTGCCTGCCTCAGGTGGACACCCAGTGTGAGGTTTGATAAAAGAGGCAGGGGAAGGCCCTGCAGACCTGCTTGGCCCTGCTGAGTGCTGTGATCCAGGTGACCTGTGGCCAGGTGCGGCCGTGTCAGAAAAGAACTCACTTAGCAAGTGGTTTTACTGGGAAGTCTGTCCCGGGCGTCTTTTTCCATGAAGCCTCCATCATGAGGACTCCACTTGGAGGTCCAGGGAGCAGTCTGTGGCTCTGCCCAAGCTGCGTGATGGTTCTTCTCCCCGGGGCCCTGGTAATGAAGCAGTTACATTTTTCCAAGGAGCGCTATCCAGAGATAAGCAAAGTTTATAACCTGTTGCCTGTTATTGTAGGGCCCATGAGCTAAGAATGGTTTTTATGTTTTCAGGTGATTGAAAAAACACACCAAAAAAATGATATTTTGTAATATGTGAAAATTACAAGAAATTCAAATTTCAGTTCCAAAAATAAAGTTTTATTGGGCTACAGCCACACTCATCTATTTACAGATTCTCTATGGCTGCTTTCTTGCTGCAAAACAGAGTTGAATAGTTGCAGCAGAGACCATGCGGTCCACAAACCTAAAGTATTTACTCTTGGCCCTTTATCGACCAAGTTTGCCAACCCCTAATCTGGTCAAAGAGCTTCTGAGGAAGGGGCAGGGAAGGGGAAGGGTGGAGGGGCTGTTTCTGACTCATTCCTAGGCTGCCCCAGTCAAATGGAGACCACAGGCAGGCCTCCTGGGCAAAATTCCAAGTCCCCTTTGGGCACTGTCTCCTCCCCTCCCCCACCCCCAGGCAGAAGCCTCCTGATGCCCTTTGAAGACCGTGGAGACCTGGAACCCCTGGAGCTGGTGTGGGCCAAGTGCCGAGGCTATCCCTCCTACCCCGCCTTGGTGAGTCTGCCCCAGATGCCACCCTCCTCCCTCCCCTGGGCGATTCTGGCCCCTGCCTTGCCCCAGGGCTTATCTGATTGGATCAAGCCATCCGAGTGTGGTGGGAGTCAGGGCGCCTTCCAGCTTTGGGTAGGTCAAACCAGCAAGGCTCCCAGCTTGGGAAAACAGAGACTAGAGCTCTTAGGAATTTATTTGCTAATGCATAAAACTAATATGTGCTCATTGTAGAGAATCTTCAAAGCTGCTAATCATACTTAGATGTTTTATTAAACATTTGTCATGCTAATTCTTGAAATACTGAGGAAGGGATGGTTATTTTCATTTTTAGGGGGAAAAACTGAGGATCCATTTGTTACTCATGTCATCTAGCTATTAAGCGGCAGGGTTGCAATTTGAGGTAGAGCTTAAAATGTGTGACGCCTGTGTTCTGAGCCACTGAGTTCAAAATCACCTATAGTCCCGTCTGTTCAGAGGTGACCTTGGTGTATATCCACTTAGTCTTTTTTGTTGTTCACCGCATAGGTATGTGCGCATGTAAGACCATGGTCTATTTCACCTCCCTTTCACTTAACAGCACACCATGCACTTGCATGTCTCATGCCTTCAAACACTCCCATCAGTATCGCATTAATGACTGCATTGTCTTCAGTCCTGCACATGAACTTACCTTATTTTAACCATTCCCTCATTGCTCATTTAAGTTGTTTTGGATTGTTCACTCTGATAAATAGCCAGCAAGAAATACTGTAGTTTTGCCTTTGTGCACATCCCTGATTATTTCTTTACAGGGAATTCTTAGGAGTGCCTTCTTGAGGCAAAGTCGATACAAATTCTGATACAAGTTGCCAGGTTGCCCTTTAGAAAGTTCCAGTTTATACTCCCACCAGCAGTAGCTAAAAATTCTATTTTTTATGATGTTGATTGCTATTCTTAGAGCTCTTTATCTATTGGGGAGGTCATGTCCATCTGGCCCTGGAAGATGCTGCTTCTAACCTTTGGGGCTTGTCAGAATCGTCCAGGGGAATTTTTTAAACAATGCGGATACTGATGGTCCACCTCAGAACTACCACAGTAGACTCTCTGAGGCCAGACTAACAGGACTATTTCTTAAAAGCTTCCCAGATGATCGGTAGCCAAGTTTGAGAACCACCACCAACCTCGTGTGTGCACACAGAGCTCACTCATATGTGTGGCTCTTTCCAGCAGCCTCTTAAAGGAGGGTAAGATCCTTACTGGACAGGCAAGGAAACCACAGCTCCGAGGCTATACACCTTGCGGGAGCCCTCCTGGAGCCCAGGTGGCCAGCCTCACTGCCTTAGCAGTGGCAGGCGTTGGAATCCATGCTGTCATCCGGCCGCTGAGGAGGCTGGGCCCGGGGCTGGCCTCCCAATGCTGTGCCCTGCTGCTCCTGAGCCTCCCAGCTTAGTTCCTGGAGAAGTGATCAAGGCTGTGCAGGTTTTGTGTTTTTTAATGTCACTGCAAAAAAAGCCACTAAAACTAATCTTTTTTTCCTAGTTACCTTCTTAATGATACATTTTCTTTCGTCATTAAAGAAATTCAACCATCGCTTGAATCCAGTCACCTGAACTCAACCTGTGTTATTTTGGTTTATACTCTCCTGTGCTTACTTAAATGTGTACAGTTGACCTTCGAATAACATGGGTTTGAACTGTGTGGGTCCACTCACTCTTGTATTTTTTTTCAATAAACACACAGCTGGCTCTCTGTAGACCCAGGGTTCCCATCTGCAGATGCAGAGGGCTGACTGTATAAGGGACTTGACCAGCCTCGGATTTCGGTAACCACAGGGGTCCTGGAACCAACCCCCATGGATACCAACAGACAAATGTAATTAAGTTTTGGGGGAATCAAAAGCTAAACTCAGGTTTTCAACTGCACACGAGGTCAGCACCTCTAACAGCTGTGTTCAAGGGTCAGCTGTACTTGCATCCATAGTGGGTATACAGTTTTTAAATTAAGGATTTTTTAATGGGTTTTGCTTTTCTATAAAGTAATGTATCTAATTATAGTAGTTTTGGAAAAATAGAGAAAAGCCACATAAACCCCCACCATTCTAACAAGCCAACTGTAAGCATTTTGTGTTGTTCCTTCTGTTTGTTGTTTACATAGTACAGCTGTAATAGTGAATGCACACATTTATTATGTTAACGTTTATCACAAACTTTATTTCCGTGTCATTTGACATCTGTGTGACATTTGAGTGAATGGACCGGCATGTATTCCTTTGGGCCCATTCGCCTCTGTCTGCTTTAAGAAGGGAGCAGAGCTCTCCTTGGTGGCAGCTTCCCTACCTTGCCCCAGCCGGGAGGGACACTCCTCACTGTCCACCCACTGCCCATGAGCCACGTGGCTGCGTCAGGGGAACATCAGTCGTGGAGGAAGCTCAGGAGGCTTGCATGTTGGCTTCCATTAGGCCCCTGAGCTTCCGTCCCAGGAGGGACAGACAGGCTGGCAGGTGGAGTTTTGACCAAATTACACAGCGGGGACAGGGTAGGTGTGGTTCTTCCTGGGAGTAAACTCTTAACCAGAGCTCCTGCTTTCAGCTGCTTGTCTCGGAGGGATGTAGAGAGGCTGGCCGACCCCCGAAGGTAACGAAAAGGGCGGTTTGTTGTGGAAGGGGCCCTGGGACAGGGCTGGCAGCTAAGGTGGCTCCGTCTCTGGAGAAAGCTGCTCCCTGAGTAGGTTTCCAAGTCCTCTGGCCTTAGCACACGCAGTGGTCAGCCGGTTGCCTGGAGGAGGGGCTGTGTGCGGGCAGTGGGCAGCAGAGGCCCCAGCGGGTTCAGGTGCTTGGGTTTAGGCCCAGCCGTGGCCTCAAGCAGCCACAACTCCTGTGCTTGGCTCCCTCTCAGCTAATACCTGTCCGCGACTTCTCAGCATCAGCAAGAGGATCAAATGAGCTGGCCACGTGTGACTAATGAGCTTTGGTGGCTCTGTCGGTGCTCCATGGCGCTGGAGAACTGTGGTGGTTGGTTACCGGGCATTTCGCTGAGCCCCTACCCTGTGCCACATGCAGCCTTGAGGATGCATTAGTCCAGTGGCCCTGGGTTCAGCCACACCATTGTCCCCTCTCCAGCAACCCAAGCTCAGTCTCCCAGCTTCTCTCTTATCTTACGTGAAGGTGTCACAAACGTTCCTGGTCCACACACCAGGGAGAGTTACAGTCAGACAAGAAGGCAGTGGGTAACCAGAGGCTGTTAGGCTAGAACCAAAGGATGGGCCCCTGCTGAGGCAGACCCTCTTCATAGCCAGGTGTCTGGGAAGGCCCTGAGCATCTGCAAGGTTCTAAGGAAAAATGCCTCCACTCCCCTCCTCTCAGGGACCCTGGGAGGAAGGAGTCTGCCTGTCTGCGCTGGATATCAGAGACACCCACTCACTAGCCTCCCCGAGGCTGGGCCCCCATCACTTCTGTTTCAGCTCTGGGCCCTGACAGTTCAGGGAGCAAGCTTCTCCCTCTTCTGAAGGACTGGGGGCAGGGCCAGAGGATTAGGACAGCGAGCTGGGGAAATAGTCAGTCTTCATTTTGGGGTACTGAGGGTCGTGGGAGAAGTTTACCTCTGTCGCTTGGTTGTGGGGTGGTTTGGTGGTCAGTCCTGGGGCGGGCTGCCCTGCTCACCCCGTCCACCTCCCGCTGAGTGCCATCTCCTTTCCTGCCTCCAGATCATCGATCCCAAGATGCCCCGGGAGGGCCTCCTGCACAATGGCGTCCCCATCCCTGTCCCCCCGCTGGATGTGCTGAAGCTGGGAGAGCAGAAACAGGCCGAGGCTGGAGAGAAGCTCTTCCTTGTCCTCTTTTTTGACAACAAGCGCACCTGGTGAGTGGGTGCTGCTGCTGGGAAGGTGCAGAGTGCAGGCTGAGGGCTGTGCAGTCTGCGTTGCTGAGAGATGCACAGAAGTGCAGGTGAGGCGCTACCTGCCAGCAGCTGGCCTGCACTTGCCACGTTAGTAGCACTTAGTGTTCCTAACAACACTGATTAGTAGTGTTAATAGTAACTGTGACCAGACTCCCCGGGAAAACTCTGACATGGCAATTTGATTCAGGAGGCTTACTGGGGAGAGCTGTGGGACCAAGGGACACAGCACTGGGGGAGAGCTGTGGGGACAAGGGACGCAGCATTGGGGGGAGCTGTGGGGATGAGGGACACAGCATTGGGGGGAAGCTGTGGTGATGAGGGACCCAGCATTGGGGGGAGCTGTGGGGATGAGGGACACAGCATTGGGGGAAAGCTGTGGGGACGATGGACCCAGCATTGGGGGGAGCTGTGGGGATGAGGGACCCAGCATTGGGGGAAGCTGTGGGGATGAGGGACACAGCATTGGGGGGAAGCTGTGGGGATGAGGGACCCAGCATTGGGGGGAGCTGTGGGGATGAGGGACGCAGCATTGGGGGGAGCTGTGGGGATGAGGGACGCAGCATTGGGGGAAGCTGCGGGGATGAGGGACGCAGCATTGGGGGGAGCTGTGGGGATGAGGGACGCAGCATTGGGGGGAGCTGTGGGGATGAGGGACACAGCATTGGGGGAAGCTGTGGGGATGAGGGACGCAGCATTGGGGGGAGCTGTGGGGATGAGGGACACAGCATTGGGGGGAAGCTGTGGGGATGAGGGACGCAGCATTGGGGGAAGCTGTGGGGATGAGGGACACAGCATTGGGGGGAGCTGTGGGGATGAGGGACACAGCATTGGGGGGAAGCTGTGGGGATGAGGGACGTGAGGGATGCAGCATTGGGGAGCTGTGGGGATGGGGGATGCAGCATTGGGAGAAGAAAATGTTGAACTGTGGTGCTCTTGCCATAGAGGCTTCAGCTGATCTTACGGGGAGCTCTAGAGCTGGGCGGCTCCTTAGCCATGTCAGAAATTGAGGCTGTGCCTTTGTACCCCCAGGCCAGCTAGTCATTGAATGCTGGCTGCCCCTGGGGAGGGAGGGACCTTGGGCCAGGCAGCTCCCTCATGGTAGGTGATTCCTGGAGAGAACCCAGCTGAGAGCCTGTCAGCTGCCGCACACCCAGTGGCTGCAGGAATTCTGTCTCAGTCCTGGGCCAGGGGCTGGGCCACAGGGCCCACTGCAAGGCGTGCTTGCTCATTGCTGGTGAGCACTTCAGGCTGCTCTCAACACCAGCAGGAGCTTCACCTTTGCTTCCTTAGAATGAGGAGGTAGGAGGAGCTAGTAAAAACGATAATAATGATGAAAATAGCTGCCATTTATTGTTTACTCAGTGTCCTTAATGTGAATTACTTTGCATTTATCCTCATTTACATATTCATTGGGTTTCTCACCCCCCCGCCGCCCATTTTGTAGATGAGGAAAGCCAGGGCTCCACAGTCAAAACTAAGATACAAACTCAGATCTGACCTGAAGGATGGGCTCTTAGCCACAGGTTAGATTCACCTGGTGAAGTACCAGGTTCAGGCCCCCCAGGGTTCAGTTTATTAATGCCCGGCGGCAGCCCCACTTCCTAGCAGAGCTCCCTGATTCTGCAGCAGGGCGAGCCCGGAGCCCTCCGATGGCTCAGCCAGTCCCAGAGGTAGCACATGGGCCTGTCCTAGCTCCTGCCCCGACTACCTCCTAAGCCAGGGGTGGGCAAACTTTTTGACTCGAGGGCCACAATGGGTTCTTAAACTGGACCGGAGGGCCGGAACAAAAGCATGGATGGAGTGTTTGTGTGAACTAATATAAATTCAAAGTAAACATCATTACATAAAAGGGGTATGGTCTTTTTTTTTTTTTTAGTTTTATTCATTTCAAACGGGCCGGATCCGGCCCGAGGGCCGTAGTTTGCCCACGGCTGTCCTAAGCAGAGGGAGCAGAGAGGGGGCTGACAGCAAAAACAGGTCCCCTGGTGGCCTCCTTTCTGAGGTGTCCCAGTCTGCCTCCTTCTGCCTGTCCCTTCCCCACTATGCGCTGGTCCTGGGCAAGCAGGTGCTGAGGGCACCCTCGTGGGACCGACTCACCAAGGCCCAGGCATCTCACTGTGCTTGTGTTTTAGGCAGTGGCTTCCAAGAGATAAAGTCCTGCCCCTGGGCGTGGAAGACACCGTGGACAAGCTCAAGATGCTGGAAGGTCGCAAGACTAGCATCCGCAAGTCGGTGCAGGTGGCCTATGACCGAGCCATGATCCACCTGAGCCGCGTCCGAGGGCCCCACTCCTTTGTCCCCTCCAGCTACCTGTAAGGGCGGGGCCGGCCTGGGTCTGCCTTCCCTGCCTCTGTCCCCTTCATAGCAGGCCAGGGGCTGCCTGGGCTGAGGCCCCAGTTTTGACAAACTGCATGGTCCCCCTGTTGGGCCTACTGTGTGCCAAAAACTTCCACCTGAGCTCCCTCAGGGCTGGTCCACTGAAGAACCAGTTAGAAGTAGAAGCAGCTGGGAGGCCCAGCGAGGAGAGGGACCTGGCCTCAGGAGGTGGGTCCCGTGCTCTTTAGGGTGTGTGGCCCCTCCGCCCCACTCCCAGGTAACCACACCTCAGGTGAGCGAGGCGCTGACATTGACCCCAGAGGTGCTGTGGATACACTCGGTCCCGTGGGGAATGTCAGTGAGCTCACCCCGCCCCCCCCAATCCTCCACCCATTCTCACACCTCTTCCCTGTCCCATCTGCACCTCCGCCCAGTCTGTCCCCTATTCCTTTCCTTTCTCTTGTGCCAAACTGACAGAAACCATTACCAAATCGGTCTTCGTGTTTCCCTTTGAGGCCAGCTGCTATGCTAGGTGGGTGCCTCCGCCTGGCTCCTTGGGGCCGAGAACAGAGGCCAGCCTGCCCCTCGGGTGACCCCTCCACCAGCACATGCCCCCCGCCCCCTGCGGCTCCCCCTGCCGCTGACCCTTACATCTGCAGACACCCAGCTGTGAGCTCTTCCCCCTTGGATCGAGGGGGGCCTCCCGCCCTCGTCCTGTCTGGCCAGGAGGCAGGCTGAGGCTGGGCGGCTCCTGTTAGCAGACGGGCTGGACGTGTGAGTGTCCACCTGCCCACTTGGAGGTTGAGGCTTGTTGAGGTGGCGCCCGTCTGCCCTTCCTTCTTCCTCTCCGCTCCTCGGGGCTTTTTGTTTTCTGCAACGGCGGCCTCTCGCCCGTCCACCCCATGGACAGCGCGGTGCCTGCAGTGGTGTCTTCCGGCCGGGCTCCGCCTGCCCAGCCTGGCCGCCCCGCTTCCCAGCTCCAGGGAAGCCTGCACTTTTGTTTCAGACCCTCTGCCCTCCCTCTTCCTCCTCAATCACCCCCCCACCCCCCCAATCACCTTCTTAAAAACGGAAGGAAAAAAGCTGTGAAACGGGAAGCTGACTGACAACCCACGACTTTCAGAGGCTTCGATGCTCTCTGGGTGTTTCCTCTCACCTCTTAGGCACCAAAGTCTCGGGCCAGGGTGCAGGCCACTGATTGCCATGTTGATTTTTAACCTGACGTTCTTTTTAATTGTTTCAAATTTTTCATAGGGGAGTTTTGGAAAAAACGAAGTCACTGGGGAGATTACTGCCATTTTTACACACACGAGTTTTTAAAAATACAGTCAACCAACCACCACAACTTCTTATACATTTGGGACACGAGCCAGAGTTTTAAAGGGAAGCAACAAAACTATAACACCAAGGATGGGGTTTGGCTTTTGTACAATACTCAAAATACAATGCAGCCTATGGCTAGGGAAGGACACGGTGTATATAATTGTAAAATACTGCTCTAAGTTATTCAGGCCTCTAGTTCCCATGACTAGCCCTCCGTTGTGTGGCCGAGCATTTTACGTGCACACAGTGTGGTATTTAAGGAGCCAGTGCACCCCTCTCCCCAGGTAGTCAGTCGGCTGTGACTCTGTGACCTTCGTCTCAACCTGTGTTGTAAGATCTCGGGGCTTTCTCTATTTCTCCTCTTTCTGTGTGTATCTCTTCCCTCCGACTCTCTCTCTCTCTCTGAATCTTTCTCTGAGTCTCATTTTGAAAACTGCGCTTTTGGAATGGGAAGCGGCTCAGATCCTGCTGTGGCGTGGGGCCTGCGTGCCCCAGTCGCGTCTGCTGTGAAGCACACGATGCTCTATTTATTGTAGAAAGTGACTTTATTTGCTTTCTAGAATTGTTTATAACAGATGGTATAAGAGAGGTAATAAACAGAAAATCTATGCTTGTAAAGAGTACAAAAGTTAATTTTACCTACTATAATATGACTGTCTGGAATTATTTTCTCTCTGAGAAATAAATGTTCTAATGGGCAGCAGTTGCTGTGTCGGTTGGTGTCATCTGTGGGTGGCTGCACTCCTCTCCTTAACTCCTCCCGCCGGCCCTCCTCAGGCCAGTGCCGTTAAGAATGGAGTTGTCTAGCCCGGCTGGTGTGGCTCAGTGGTTGAGCCTCGACCCATGCACCAGGAGGTCACCTATTGGATTCCTGGGCAGGACATGGGAATGTGGGCCCAATCCCCAGTAGGGGGCATGCAAGAGGCAGCCCATTGATGGTTCTCTCTCATTGATGTTTCCCTATAGCCTTCCCTTCCTCTCTAAAAATCATTTAAAAATAAAAAGACTGGGTTTGTCCAGCTGCTGCAGGCTCCCAGCTGGAGAGGGAGCCCTGGGACGCTGTGAAGATGGGCACCTCTGGGGGGTCTGGGAGCCAGTGTGGCTCCCAGGCCTCAGGGCCCTGTGGCTGTGTGCCTTTGGAGCACGTGCTCAGACAGTGGGAGAAGGGCCCTGTGGACATCAGCCCCTGTTCACCAAGCTATGGAATTCAACTCACACCTCCTTTGTCCATTAGGGATCCTTGAGCCAATTGGGTCTTCCTTTTGCAGATGAGGAAACCTACCACGATTAAAAGACTCGTCCACGGTCAGCCAGCCGAGAAATGGTGGCAGAACCCTGGGAAGGACCTGGCCAAGGCTTTTCTGCGGCTGCACTCATGCCAAGGCCGTGCTGGCCTGTTGTGTACCTTTCTCCCCCTCAGCAGCTGTGGCTCCAACATTTCTGGGAAGGCACATCCCGGAGAATAGAGCCGGGAGTTCCCAGAGACAGGCTGCCAGGGGCTGGGCCTGGGGGCTTCTCCCCACCCCTGCTCGGGGCCTGCCTGGCTCCGTGCGTGTCTGGGGACGGCTGGAGGACACCGGCCTCCTGAGCACCTCCACAGGACCTTTGGAATTCTTGACATTGAAGTCACTAAAGTGTGAATGTTCTCAATTTGTTGTAACATCAACAAAGTACAGGCCCTGGCTGGGTGGCTCAGCTGGTTAGAGCGTCGTCCCCAAGGTTGCAGGTTCCGTCCATGATCAGGGCACACACGAGGATCAACCAATGAAGCACAGTGAGACAACAAACCGGAGTCTCCCTCTCTCCCTCTCTCTCTCCCCTCTGCCTTAAAATCAATTTAAGAAAAAAGTTGATTGTGCTCACAGTCCTTATACATGCTGGGGGTGCAAAGCTACCCTCCAGGACGCTACATCGCAGACAACTCAGACGGCGGGAGAGAGGTACCATGTTTGGCTGAGGGAATAAAAATTTTAAAGGAATGAAGCCTTGCCCTAACCAGTTTGGCTCAGTGGATAGAGCATCGGCCTGCGGACTGAAGGGTTCCAGGTTCGATTCCAGTCAAGGGCATGTACCTTGGTTGCGGGCACATCCCCAGTAGGGAGTGTGCAGGAGGCAGCTGATCGATGTTTCTAACTATCCCTCATCCTTCCTCTGTAAATAAATCAATAAAATAAAAAAAAGAATGAAGCCTTGAAAAAAACGGGTTAAAAAATCCCTGTTTATAAATTAATATTTTGAATTTCAAAGGCAATTTAGAGCAAAATTACAAGCTCATCCTATAAAACAATTTGAGAACCAAGTAAAGGGAAAAATGACCAGGTGGGTGGGATTTCAGCGGCAGGATAGAGAAGGCGGTGTCCATCCAGGAGGTGCTGAAGCAAAGGCAGGGCTCGGACGCGATCGCGCATTCCAGCTAATGACCACCTCCTTCGTCAGGAGAGGAGGTGGCCAGGCGTGCCGGGAGCACGAGCCCTGTCATTCTGGCTGGGTGACCGCAACATGGTCTTCGACCTCTCTGCATCTCTCGGAGGCTGACTTAATGGGACCCTAAGGCCAGGGTGGGGCATTAATGACTCAGGCTTAGGTGGCAGCATCCACTGAAGAATTGGAGCAGGAAAGAGACTTGACTGGACCTTGGCAACTAATTAGAAATCAGAGTCAAAAAGATGGAATATTATTAAGACAGGGCCTCAGGGCGGCTGGAGGGAGCAGCAGTGGGTTGCAGGAGGAGGGAGAGTTTTGTCTTTCTTTTTTTTCTTTAATACAGTTTTATTGATTTCAGAGAGGAAGGGAGAGGGAGAGATAGAAACAGCAACGATGAGATAGAATCAGTGATCAGTATCAGCCTGAGAGACCCGGCATGTGCTCTGACCGGCAATCCAACAGGTGACCTCCTCGTTCATTGGTCGACACTCAGCTGCTGAGCCACCTGGGGCCGGGCCAGGAAGAGTTTTGGTTTTGATGAGTTGGCCTACAGGGCATCTGAGAAATGTGGGGGGCACAGGAGCCCCCTCCAGGGCAGTGACAAGATGGCCAAGGAGAGAGGGGAAGGGCAGACCTAAAGACATTTAGGATGGAGAGGGTGCCCGCAGAGGGGTCTGGTCCCGGGAGGGCCTCACACCACGTCAAGCTCTAAGATGTAGGCCTCACTGGGGGCAGGTCAGACCTGCGGTCACAGCGGAAGAGGCGGTGCTGGATAGAACCCGGCATTTTCTACTCTGCAGGCCCACGACTCAGCCCTCGAGGTGAGCAGAAGGGTCCTTATTGATGAATTTTACCAATGCTGAGATTAACGTTTATGTACCCAAGACTCACATATGATATTGGAGCACATGGGAGGCACTCTGACCAGGAACAGGAACTCTCATTTTCCTAGCAAGTTTGGCCACTTCCAAGAATGTGTCCGTTTCCCTTTACACGGGAGTGTGACTGTGCCTTTCACATGGATTCTCCCGACCTGGTTAGCCCTGAGCTTCAACTGTGAGAGGACAGGTGTGAGTGGGGAACTGCCGGCTCCGGGAGGGAGCTGGAAGGCGGGCCCATCCACCCGGGTCTGCAGGCCCCCTCCCTCCGGCACTGAGTGTCCCCCAGGGGGCCTGTCGTGCACTGAGTGTCAACATCTGGTCCTGCCTGCTGCACCCCGTCTGGCCTTTACCAGAGCTGGGACAAGGGAAGGGGGTCTTTGGGGGACGGAAATGGTTTCCCCAAAACCGGGGGCAGAAGTTTCTGCCTCAGTGTGTGGTGGGACGTGGGGCCGGAGAGGTGTGTGTCTGCTGGCCGGACGGAGCTGGAGGTGAGCTCGGTGCCCTTCTGCTTGCTCTCCCCCTTCAAGGGTGGCAGAGGGCACGAGGGGTGGAAAGGAAAGAAATATATATAAAGTATGCTAATATGTTACTAGTATATATGTGTGTGCTGGTATTCTCTACAATTTTAATATTCTTAAGAGGGCTGGGACTCACAGGCACACAGAGTAGATAAAGCTAATTTTCTATAGTTAATGTACTATGATAATACTGTATACTATTATTATAATAATACAGTTAATGATACTGTATAAAGCATTGCACACTTGAAAGTGGTTCAGAGAGTAGTAAATCTTCTCATCACAGGAAAAAATCTGTAACTATAGAAGGTGATGAATGCTAACCAGACTTACTGTGGTAATCATTATGCAACATATACAAAATAATTGTGTTGCACACCTGAAGCTAATAAAGTGTTGTATGTCAATTATACCTCCATTTTTTAAAAAAGCCAGCTGTCCCCAAATCTCAGCAGGGTGGTTGTGTTGTTATTTCAGAGAGCGCTGTGCGTCCCTGGCCCGCTGGCTAGGAGCGGCGGGTGTCCGTCTAACTCCCTCACTTCTGAGGCGGGGTCTGAGTTCCTTCCTCTCCCCTCTGCTTTGTCCTGGCCCCTTTTGGGGGACACAGAGGCAGGATTGGGGATGCAGCTGATGGTTCCGGCTGGGCAAGGGGGCAGGGTGCAAGGGGGCTCGGGGGAGGGCTTCCCCCAGCTTCACAGTCTAGAAAGACCCCTGAAGGATTGTATCTGAACTGTTCATGAAAGATGATTCAATTTGTTCTTTGCTATCCAATTTGGGGAATTTTTAAAAGAAGTGCAAAGGAGAAACTAAGATGATCCTAACCACCCAGAATAACTATTCCCACCATATTAACAACATTCCTTACAGTCCCTTGCTTTGTCTAGAGCATGCATTTTAGTTTCTCAAAATGGGTAGCTGAGAACCAGCAGCTCTGAGAGGCTGTCAGCTGTCTGTCATCCCTGCAGAAGTAAGTGTGTGTGTGTGTGTGTGTGTGTGTGTGTGTGTGTGTGTGTGTAATATTTTTTTATTGATTTCAGAGAGGAAGGGAGAGACAGAAACATCAATGATGAGAGAGAATAATCAATTGGCTGCCTCCTGCACATCCCACACTCCTGGTTCATCGGTTGATGCTCAACCACTGAGCCACACCAGCCTGGCACTGCAGAAGTTCTTGGCAGGACTGGAACCCAAGGCCCAGCACTGCCTCTGTCTAAGTTTGACTCATCCTCACTTGCTGTGTATGGTGAACTGGGTTAAGCCAACCTTTACTTGTTATTACTTTGTTCCTCCCAACCTCTGCCACTTTGTTTTACTAAAATATAGATAGCCCGGCCAGTGTGCTCGGTGCCGCCTGCTGACCCCGCACTAAGAGATCTCCTGTTGGATTTCCAGCCAGGACACATGCCCAGGTTATGGGCTCGATCCCCAATAGGGGGCATGCAAGAGGCAGCCGATAGATGTTTCTATCTCTTTCCCTCACCTTTCCTCTCTCTCTCTCAACTCAATAAAAACATATTTAAAAAATAAAATATACATAATCTCCAGCAGTTGAAATTGAACAGGAGCTATATATCTCCATCCCAAGAACTTTGCTATTGGGGGCGCATTTCCATGGAAATAAGTCCTACACCAAATTCGGCCCCTTGTTCAAAAGTCCCCAGACAAGAATGCCTCCAGAGGGCCATATCCTTTCTCCTCCAGTTTAGAAGCTCTGGCTCTTTGCCCTCAGGTACAGCCTCTGGCACCTGCATGGCCTCCAGCACCTGCACGACCCCCAGCACATGCACAACTCCCAGCACCTGCACAGCTCTCAGCACCTGCACAGTCCCAAGCACCGGCACAGCCCCCAGCACCTGCACAGCCCCCAGCACCTGCACAGT